AATGTGTTTATGTAATAAAGTATTTGAATATATCAAACACATTTTCATATTGTCACGTGCGCTCTCACAGAATACCAGCGTCAAATAGTAGCTTAATGCTGCTGTGTTTCGTATGATAAGTGTAGAGAACCGGAGACCATTTTTACTGGAAACAAGGCATTCCACCTAAGTGACAACGTATTTGCATTTTGTTTCGTAATCGAGGACTGATGTAGATGTCTCTGAGCCACAGCAACCACTTACCATCCGGTGGACTGTGTGAAAAAAAAATATTTAATATTTTCTAGTAGTGGTCTAGTAGTAGTTTATATATTTTTTTCTGTTTTCTACTAACAGCTTTTCTCAACCCACTGTTGGATATAGGATTTTTTGAGAATGTCTGAAATAAACCATCTAAATATTTGTCCATGGTCGTTTCAATGGGCTTGTGAGCTCGGTGGGTTTGTGAGCTCAGTGCCGATATTCTTTATTAATTCTACTTAGACAACGGTAGTTCTCCATGTTTAATTTTAGAATATACTTCAGTTAATATTAGTTCGTTTATCACACAGTGTTGAAAGCCAAATTTAACTTGGGGGCTTAAATTTGCATACTCCTAGTTTCAACAGAGCGCAAATGTGGCAAATTTGATTATAATTCACAACTGAGGAGCTCTGACAAAACATAGAAATGTTGTTGCTAAAGTTATAACGTAATATTTAACTTTAGTTTCATATAGTTCAAGTCGAATTATTGCAAATATCATTACAAATAGAGGTGAGTGCGTAATGATATGTCCTCACTTTCCCTTTATCGACTAATTGCAATTCGTTTTAAACGGCTTAAAAAAGGAGGGGGTTTGCCGGAACCGATTTCACGGAAACGACTGATCTGTTTTAAAATATTCTTTTCTTTAAATGGGTTTTACTTCAAGGTTGGTACAACATAAATCAGAAGAATAAATCCCATCCTTAAGAGTAGAATAATGGGGGATTAAATTTTTAATGGAGCTATAAAGATGACATTTTAATTCTGACTATTATTAAGTCGACCCAAATGGGTAAAATAATTCAATTTTTGATAAAAACAATGAATGACTTCAAAAATTTAAATGATTTTTTTTCCATAATAGCTTTTGAAGTTGAGGTCCAAATTCTTCGATACACTATGTCTTACAGCTGACATCAGAAGCAAACGCTTGTGAGTATATTTTGTATAAAAACTTCAAGTTATTTTAATAAAAATTACTTACACAGTTGTTAATTTTTTTATAAGATAGGGTGACAAACGTGCACACAGTCCACCTGATGGTAAATGGTTGCTGCGGCCCATAGACATCTCTCTCGTACTACTCGTACATCTATCCTCGATTGCAAATCAAAATGCAGATGCGTTGTCACCCGTAAGGACTAAGACGGAGTGCCTCGTTTCCAGTAAAAATGATCTCCGGTTCTCTACACTCACCATAAGAAGCAAAGCAGCATTAAGCTACTATTTTACGCTGGTATACTGTGAGAACGTGATCCTTCCACGGTCGTACCGACCCATTCGTGCTACAACTATGCTACTATAACTGCAGCATGTCTCTACCATATATAAAATTAGCATCGAATAAAATTGGTTCAGAAGCGATATAATCAATTCCTCTCGAGATTTGTGCGACAAAAACTTCAGTAACATTAGAACGTATATACATATATATCCCATCGGACATTATGAATATTAAAATACGGATATATTTTTAATTTTGGACTTTCAAATATTATCGGTACATTATTACAAAACAACGGATAGGTAGGTAGTTATTGATACACCCCGTCCCTCAATTTTTAACCAAAATATTTAAATATATAATATTTGATTATATAGACTAAGCAATAAAACTAATAAAACTAATACATCAATATTTTTATATACGTTCCTAGAACTTAGTTACGTGCCCTAATGTCTGTCTGCCGCACGAACCTTCAAATCGGTAAAACGTAGTAATTTAAGTGTATTTTAGTTAAAAAAAAAACTATTAGACGCTCTCAAAATTTGACTAGGTAATTCATTTGCGGTGTTTTAATTACAGAATAACATGATAGCAGCATCAGCTTGATATCTTTTCTGATAAAATTAGGATATTTTTTAATATCAATCACGTTTCATATTTTGTGATTAGTGTTATGTTGCGAGGATTTTCGATTAAAAAAATCTGATATAATAGCGGAGGCGATTCTGAACTTGTTTACAGATTTGTATACTTCCCCTCTGTGAACATGTAGGGTTTGTATAATCTATAAAATCCGCAAGGTCGTTACACGTAGATTGGAGCAAAATTTATGATTAGCGACCAAAAAATAAAAGAATAAGAATAAAAAAATAAAAAATAAAAAAGAATAAAAGCGCATGTGTTTTTTACACATGCGCATTTATTCCGCACGTCTGAATAAAAGCCTTTGAACTCAAGCTTCAGGTTTAGGCTAAGATTATAAGTCCATGATGTTTTGAGTAGCGAAAACACAGCATTTTGAAGTATATAATGTTCCCAAAATCAGAACTGTCATTTTTTAAAATTAAAGTTGGTAAGAATTACCTTGCACATATCCGCTCAATAAAATGAAATGATTATCTTACCTAGTTTGAAGCCACTTACCGCCTCCCGTCCTCCCTCAATTGCGTGCACTAATCCCGTCACCACTACTCCCAACACCAGTACACTGAGAAAGACACATCATCGATGATAATACGAGTGGTTTTTCGGAAAATAACGCCTGATTATATATATTTTTTTAATTTCAACCCATGTAAACACCATAGATGAAGTGACGACCTAATAAAAGATGCAGGAAGTCAATAGATACAGATGACCTATGATATTCCAGAAGAGGCCCTACGTTCAACAATGGAGTAAATTGTGATGGGCTGATCATCATTATATAATGACGATGAACTCACATATCCATTCAGTCAATGTATATCATATACTATAATTTTAGTGGTCAATTATATGCGACAACTTCAAAGGTGCGATAACAAGTCTCTGTTATAGAAGATGCCATTTTCAGCTGTGGACTTTAGTTGATGAAAAGTAAGAACAAAATCATTAAAAGCCCAATTGCGAAGAGGCTATAAACATTTAGGGAGTGATGCAGCGGATCGGAGATCTGATCTGGCATTTACATTTTTTTATAGTAGAGGAGGCAAACGAGCATGCGGCTCACCTGATTGTAAGTGACTACCGCCGCCCATGAGCAACCGCAACACCAGCGGAATTGCAGGTGTGTTGCCGGCCTTTTAGAAAGGAGTAAGCTCTTTTCTTGAAGGTCCCTAAGTCGCATCGGTACGGAAAAGTCACCGATGGTAAACAATTCCACAGAGAGGTTCTACGAGGAAGAAAACTAGTAAAACGCACAGTGGTGGACCGCCTAGCATGCAGATGGTGAGGATGGTATCGTGAATTTTGAGGCGATGTACGTTCGTGAAATTTGGCGGCTGGCACTAATCGGAACAATTCCTCAGAACACTCCCCATGGTAGATACGATTCACACAGCGCAGTAAATTGAGCGAAAAAAACTCCTGGGAAAAGTATTCCATGTAAGTTCAAACCTGAGCTTTGTAAAGTTCAAGCAATCTGCCGGCATGAAATACTGTCTCGCTCTGCTGAGCACGCCAAGCTTTTTAAAGGCAAATTTGGCCTTCCCCTCTAAGTGACCACGAAATTGCACACTATTTGATATATCGACGCCGAGGATTCCGATGCGAACTGAGGCTGCAAGGGAAGTGCCTCCAAACATATGAGATACGACAATGGGTTCTTTTTAGCAGTTAACGCGCATACTTGTATCTTCTGCGGATTGAATTGGACTAGATTTAGTCGACCCCAAACCGAGACTTTGTTAAGCAAAGACTCCACTTCAGAAACATGTTTGTCCCGGTACTCGGCGACGATTTTCCGAGAAATATTGGCACGGCCGGTGTATAAAGTATCACCAGTACTGTCGTCTGCATAGCAAAGAATGTTACCAAATTGCAACATATCATTGATACGCAAAAGAAACAGCGTTGGTAAGAGCACGCAGGCTTGTAAAACACCAGCTTTTAATAGGCTTGGCATGTACCGTCTACTACAACCTTGATGCTCCGATTAGCAAGAAGACTAGTGATTAAAACGCACAATTTCTCGGGAAGCCCATAAGATGGGTGCTTCGAAAGAAGCGCTTTGTGCCAGACCCGATCGAAGGCCTTCGCTATATCCAAACTAACGGCCAATGCCTACTCCTTGGACTCTACTGCCTTCGCAAATATATGAGTAAGGTTCACCAGAAGATCACCAGCTGATCGACTCCGACAAAAACCATATTGGCGGTCACTGATCAGCTGGTGATCCTCAAGGTACCTCACGAGCTGGCAGTTTACAATGGACTCAAATATTTTGGAGAACAAGGAGGTGATGGCGATAGGCCTGTAGTTGGATGGGTCTGAGCGGTCGCCTTTTTTAGGGATCGAGTGGACCAAAGCTATCTTCAAAGAATTTTAGACTTCACCTTGGTAGTAGAAGTACCGGAATAGACGCGTTAAAACCTGTGCCAACTCCAGAGCACACGTCTTCGGAGACTCCACAGCCCACCTTGCTACATACGATCCCCATTCTAGAGTCGAGTTGGACGCAAAGAGAGAGCTTAACAGATCGGCTATCTCCTTTGCGGCATTGGCCAGTGAGTCGTTATTTCTGTGAAGAGATGGAGGAGATGACTAACAGAAGTACCCTTGGACAGCCTTGGTAAGCTAACAGAATGCGAAGAAATTAGAAATAATAAAAACAATGCTGACACAAAATTTCCTCTGCTCTCTTTTAAATGTATATATCTCTTTTAAATATATATATATAAATGTTATAAATTATAAACTGATTTCTGAAGAGGTTTATAAATTAACAATTTCGGAACAAATGCACGGAAATATGCTCAGTAAACAAGAGCCCTAGAAGATAATTAATTGATGTCAAAAGCAATCGAGTCTTGAAGAAACCATTCGCTTATAAACAAAGAGGCACTTGAGAAAGGCGGTCAGGATCTTTTGAATATAGAAATTCAAAATGGTTGCTGTAAGGTTTTACAAAATCAGTTTCAGAACTCTCAAGTGTAATGAACTGAAATCAAAACAAGGCATTTAATTTCACATAGTAATTTATATAAGGATTTTTAAATTTTGGTTGTTTTTTTTTTTCAACGAGAAACGGATGATTTTTATATGTTTATTCTAATGGAATATGCTAGCTGCGAATCTAAGATATTTTTGTCTAGTACTAAAATCACCGTAAAAGTTTATATATTACTATATAATAATTATTTTGTACATGATATCTCTCGTACGTCTAAATACAATACAATCGATTCAGCGGTGCGACGCACTTCCGAAAATTGAATAGGAAATATGTAAGTACTTTGTGATAAATAGACATATCACTATCTTATAATAAGGAGCCCTATGTTCAGCATATAGGCCTCCCCTAAGAAGTGCCATGTAGTACAATCCTGAGCCACCTGTGTACATTTACTTTCTACATTTTTACCAGGTCATCACACCATTTATTGGGGGAGTCGTCCAACACTTCATTTCCCAGTAAGAGGCTACCACTCGAGAAACTTCCTTTTTTAAATAATATTTTCTTTTACCGGGGATTGAACTTAGGTTCCTCATGTACTATAAAATTCAACGCACGTACTTTTAAAATTACGTCCTACAACGGTTTATATTTTTATAAAGATAGCTATAAAGTAAATGAAAATATCTCTTTCGACTATGAAATATATTTTCAAAAATAAGGTCATTGTGGCCAATATTTTGTTGGAACAAAATGTTGTTGGCACAATTTTTATGCAATTTTAATAAAACAAGCTTGTACAAATGACTTTTATGTCATCGAAAATTGCGATAACATGCTTGTAGAATAGCGTACAGCCATCAGGCAGCGATGAATAGCCGAAAATATTCATTGTAGATTCAAATATTTTACAAAAAGTTATGGGTTAGTAACGTATAATTGTAAAATACTGTATAAAGACACACACACACACACACACACACACACACACACACACACACACACACACACACACACACACACAACAATTTGAACATTACTTGCAATTTGTGGCAACGGGAAATACCCATATCCATCATCTGGAGGACTATTACAAGCTGTTGATGACGAAGAAGAAAAATTTCGCTAACACAAAGGCAATTACTTCGCCTAATCTAATAAATCATACATCGAATCAAGGCACGAATCTAGAACCGGTGACTCAATTGTCAATTCTCCCTGTGACCTGTGAGCCACTCTGTATATAAGTTGTATGTAAGATTCAAAAGGCTTCAACGTTTCATTCATTACCTGAAGTAATAAATTTGTGGCATTTGTATGTATTTGAAGCTGTGGTCCACGACGGCATAGTTAGTTAAGGCAGACTGTCCGGTAAGTCGTAACAAGTATTCGGTTGTATGATTGTATTATATGTATGATTTATTAGCATATAGAGAAGCTTTTCGGTCTTATTAATAATTCGTAATCGAAACCAGTTTGGGGTTAGTCCCAATTTAGTTAATACTTTATATGTTTTGTAGAATTATTTATTGGTGTACGTGTGGGATAAATGCTTTTATTCATCATTCAGTATATATGGTACTTTTTACTGCTGCTACTGACGATCATTGTGTTGATCTACTGGCCTCATTGGACAAAGGCGATAATCTCTATAGTCTAAAGTTTTTAATTTTTTAAAAATTCTATAACACAAAGACCGTTTAAAAAAGGTGGTTAAAAATAATCCCTGGGTGATCGCAGCCAAGCTATTATTGGAATTAATTTTATTATTATTTACGTAAGCTGGGAAATTCATTATAAGATATGGCTTTGATAAAAGTGATGCTTAGTTTCTGGTTGTTTCTTTCAAGGACAAAGCTGTTTCCGAATCAGTGATAAATTCAAAAACGAAATTTAACCAATATTTTTTTAATATTGTGTAATATCCATCCATCCTTCAATTACAGCCTTTGTATGTCCATTGACCGCCTCATTGGTCTAGTGGTTGTAGCAGTGCGATTGCTGATCATGAGCTCTTGGGTTCGAATCCCGGGTCGGGCTAAATAATCATTTATTGAGTTTTTCCGTCAAGAAATTCTTCAACAGTCAGTAAGTTGACGGTGTCTCACCCCCGTGCCTCGGAAAACACATAAAACTATTGGTCCTGCGCCTGATCTCTCTCCGGTCGTATCTGTTTACCGGCCCATAAGATTATGAGAGTGAGGGAATAGAGAGTGCACCTGTGCGTACATACACTTGGGCACTATAATCCTGTCCTGCGCCGATGGCTGGGCTCCGTTGAGGCTAGACGCTGTGACCGAAATTTGGTTTGGAGGACATTGTATGACCATTGCTAACTTTTTTAGATTTTTATGATTTTGCTATAACATAAGGAATAATATTACTTTTTAATAGTATCTATTTATTTAATTTATTTTATATACTATAGACCATGACTCCTTCATCACTATATATATATATATAAAATAAAGTACGATTTCGACCGAGCCGTCGACGTTGATTTCGGAACGAGCTATCACCGTCGATGGTTAACCCAGATAATTAAGATCTGCAACGCCACCGCCGCCACTTCTTTATATTTTTTTTCACATGTTTCTGTACACTCCAAAAATTATACAAGATATTTTATAACTTTTTTATAGATCAAGGGTGGCAAGCGAGCACACTGTCAACCATTATTTTTTTAATTAAAAGTTGCTGCGGTCCATAGACTGAATGTAAAGTATAATGCATATAATATCATGAAATAAAAATGCATTGTTACCAAATGCAATGCATTGTAATATCGGTAAGGAAGATTTGGAGGCTATACGTCAAGATATTTCGTCCTTGTTACGTCGTAGTGCAGTGCCGAAACCAAACCTTCCTAAAGACGAATTTACAGCGTTGATTAATTTACGGAACAGACCAGAGCTAACGATTCTCCGCGCGAATAAAGGAAACGCTACGGTAATAATGGACACGTCAGAGTATAGTTTTAAAATATAAACTTTTATGTAAATTACATATAAAAAGTTCAAAACAGACCTCACAACTAACACGCTTAAAGCAACTAGCAATTTAATAAAGAAATACTCCGAAAAATTAAATCTCGACGTGAATTCGCTAATACCATTATGTACCAAAGCACCAGGGTTGTACAAACTAAACGCTCCACTACGTCCTATAGTGAGCCAGATCTATTCACCAACTTATAAGCTGGCACAACACTTGGCAAAAATACTGTCACCACTGAGAGGACATACCAGAACACACCCAAAGGATTCATACCATTTTGTTAGTGAGATAAAGACAACAAACTATGGTCAGTTTTGATGTTCAGTCACTATTCACATGCCTACCTATTGAAGACTGCATCTCAATTGTAACTAGGAAGCTAGAAGATAACAACATGCCTGCTGAATATGCAGTATTACTCAAACATTGCCTCACATCTGGCTATCTATTGTGGAAGGAAGAGTTCTACAAGCAAGTAGATGGTGTGGCGATGAGCTCACCTGTATCTCCCATAGTCGCCGACATATTTATAGAGGACTTCAAGGAGAAAGCCCTTCTTACTGCTCCTGTAAATCCAAGATCTACAAGCGGTACGTAGACGACACCTTCACAATTTTACCATCTGACAAAGTAACTGCATTTTTAAACCACCTTAACTCTATAAACTTTAAAATTTAATTCACAATGGAGTTAGAGGCAAATAATTCTTTAGCTTTCCTAGATGTTTTAGTCATTCGAAATCCTGATAACACTATTGGTCACACTGTTAATAGAAAAAAGACCCATACCAACCGATATTTAAATGGTGAATCTCACCATCATCCTTCACAGTTAGCTACCGTGGGTAAATCTTTGTTTCAGAGAGCACGAGAGATCTGTGACAGAAAACATCTGGCCGCCGAGCTGCAGCATGTCAAGCAAGTATTGCAAGACAACAAGCTTCGGATCCCGCGCCTACGTCACAGTGACTGATATGAATGATACGCGAGGCTATTGAAATTAAAAAACATCCTAATTTCAATAGAGAAGATGGTTGGGTGCTGCCATCTGCTTGGGATCCTATAATTAACAAAATTAAACCCAAACCCAAGCATACCACTGCAAGACTTCAAGATACTGTAAGTTCATTTTGCGTAAATCGGACCAAAAATTTATATTCAAAAATTGAAGGTAGCCGGGCTAACAATGACATTGGGACGTCAAATATCTCAGTCCCCCCCGTGACCGTGGTTGCTGTAAAGCACCCGAAACGTCGGGAATTAAAAATAAGTAAAATAAGTTAAATGAACGCGATATAATCCGAAAAAAAAAAAATAGTTTTATTCAATGTGTAGTGTTCGCGTAAATTTAAGAAATCATTATGCATTGTTACCCCTGAGGACTAAGAAGGATTGCTCGTTTTCAGTAAAAGGGTTCATAATTATTGAATTTTGTTATTATTAAACACAAAATTCCACAACACACAAATTACTAATTCTGTACATAACAATGAAACTTGAAACACAATTCTCTAACAGACCGTTACTTGTTAAATTCTTGTATCGCCAATAAACCCCCAAATATTCCAATGTAATAATAACTCCATCAAATATTCAAGAGGTCTCAAATTTGGAAGTTATGTTAGGAGTGAGGCGAGGAATGTTTACTTGCCGTATCTGGGTAAACACAGCGTTCAATGCTCGTAAATAATGCCAATTCAGTGTAATAACGCTCTCGGAATTCTTTTTTTTTTCGAGAAGAATTCTAATAACGATGGTAATATGAAGATAAATAATAGTGAAATGGCTGACAAGGATCTTGGATATACAAATAACAAAGTTCAATGTTGTTTGACATTCGTGTTATATGGATTAAATAATATAAGAGTTTGAAAAAACCTTAAACAACACTCACTCATCACGAGCACTAGAATACAATTATTAAATTATTGTTTAGGTACCGGTACTTGATACGGATGTAAATTGTCAAGACAATCGGACGTCTACAAGTTTGTGAAAATTACACTAAAAGATTCCGTTACATAGATAATAATTATTAAATAAGTAATA